TGTACTAATACAATTTCCTGTTTCTACACAATTGCTAGTGGACAGCAGAACTTAGGTGACATGGGTGAGCAAAAAACAGCTAAGCAGGGCCTGATTTAGTTAGAACTTGGATAGAAAGCCCCAGGAAATTCTAAGGCTTCAGTCTAGACTATGATTTAAAAAAAAAAAAAACTTGAAGAAAGCAATGGCAAATCACTTCCACATTGCTATTAAAAACACAGAAAACTACAAAGACATGTTCAGGTAATCACCAGAGGTCAAACTCAACTTGAGGGAACCTTTACCCTATTCCATATGACTATTACTTACATTGTAGTTTGAGGCAGTTTCCTTTCTACAAGGTTTTTGCATAGAAAGTGGGTCTGAATCTGGATAAAACACACATGAGCAAACCTTATTAAAAAGTCAATGTACAACATATGCAAACTGGTTGTTTAGAATCTGACAGTTCACTAAAGAACTTTGGACATCTGTCCATCATGAGGATCAAACCTCACATTATTCTCATTTCATAACATGCAACTGTCTTCTTTTCATTTTCCTGGGAGCAATCGCATGGGGCTTCAATCCAGATTTCAATGGTTACTTGTAAATTTGGAGGTTTATTCCCTCCCCTAACACTTAATTCCAGAAAATCTTTCTCACATCACAGTAAATGAATAGGAAATAAAAACCTATTGGTGCCAGTGGACAGTATTGTAACTCCCATATCAATAGTGAGGATTTCCAAAATAAAATCATCCAGCAGGGCATTAAACTCTTCCCAGCCCAAATGTAGTAGTCCAGGTATTAACTGTATCCTTTCTTTTATGTATGTAAAAAGGCCAAGCCATGTAATTGATATGAAAAATACTCTGAGCTCTAGTATACAAAGTTACCTTCCAAGTGCCAAATTTAAGATTTCAAAACATTCCAATAAAATGCCATGCACAGAGCTAGCAAAAAGTGGGGTCTCAACAAGGAAATAGCTACGGTGAGAGATTTTGCAGATTTGATTAATATCAAGGGTTATTCCAAGTTATTTTGGATGACCCCTCTCGCCCTACTAAGCTGCATATTCAGACTCCCATTAAACAGCAACTGAGCTGAGGCATGGAACTTCATCTATCTGAAGTTCTACATCCAAGTGCCCCACTTAGGACAAAATCTGCCTGTATCTTTGCACATGGTTAGCTGGAAATTACAGTAGCAAAGCTCAGCATATAGCAAAGCTGCTCTCAGACAAAGCGCCTTCATTATAAGAAGCTCCCTTGTGTACTGTGTTGGTAAAATTGTTATTATTTGTTAAGCACTGACAATGTGCTCTGCGCTGTATGAGAAAGTAATACAGAGGCAGATACCTCCCTAGGGAGTGAGCCATCACAAAGAATGGCATGAAAGAAGATATTCTGTGTGACCCAGAGAATTGAGGTGCTCAGATCTTTTGAAATTGTTCTGTCCTCTATATTGAAAGTAAATAATCTTTTACTTCCAAACTCAGCCTACCCCATTACCTGTCACAATGTGCTCCAGCAACTTTAAAAGCATCAACCTTAAAAACTTCATCTTTGCACATCACTTTAGTGAAGTGTGCATTATCCCTAATAAAGAAGAAAAATGGCAATGAAAAGACCTTGTAAGATGATTATGGTCTAGAAAGCTCTGAATAGAATTATATAGTTTCATATTATGAAGTTCAAATTCAGTGTTACAAAATCAAATTGGGGAACTAAAATCTTTATGATCATCATCTTTTACTGTGTACTGATTACTTCTACTGTCTGTAGAACATACTAGGTGCCACTGAATATTTCTGCACTTGTATTGTTCATACATACTTCAGTTCTGTTATGCTGCTTACAGATGGAAATGAAATTTGTCCAGTCCAAATTTGTATATAAACTTATCAAATTTATATCTCCCAAATCAACTTGTAGTGGAAGACACATCCCTGTCAAAACACAGCGTGTAACTAAAAAAATGTTCACAAAAATACATTTATGAAGGATAACGTGCACAGACATGAATGTTAGGCAAACTTTCCTGCAAGAACTGATTATATTGGTAGAAAATTGCTTGTGAAATATTTGCACATTACAAAAAGTACATAGAGAAATGGGTACATTAAGAGAAATGTGGAAAAAAATGCAAGGTGGGTGGGTAGAGGGAGAACACATTTGAAACAGATGTTGAAAGAGCCCAGAAGAAGTTTGTGGTCAGGAAGATGACGAACTGAAGAAAAACAAAAGTGACATATGTCCCATCCATAGTTTACCTACATATAGCAGCTGGAAAAATGTTGCATGGTTACTTTGGATCTTCATGCTTTGCTGATCCATGTTATAGGTTTACAGTTTGGTCTAAAACCTGTTCCTAAATAGCCCAGATTGACTTCAAACAATAAACAGACTAAAGAAATCAGTTTAAATAGTAAGATCTTTAAAAATTAATAGTCATATCAGAATAAGCATTAAAAGTAAGTCCGTAGATGTGATTGTACAGTAAAATTATTTCAGATAGCCTATGGATTTGATAGCTAGCAAACATTTTAATGAAAATCATTGCTTTTTACTAACAGTCACCAAATATGGATTTATAAACTAAAATTGAATTAACAAGAATGAGTTTCCTAATTTAAAATAAAAGGTCAAATTATATCCTCTCTTGGATTAGCCAGGACAAAGGCCAGATATGAACAAAATTAAACAGACTTCACAGTTCAGTGCATTTAAAGGATAAACCATAGTAACTCCCACAAATGAACTGGAGATTATTTGAGAATGATTTCACTGATGTTTTTAAGGTTCCAGGATACAATAACATATGTTGGAAAGTGAAAAGTATTCTAACATCAACTAGGTTGCATTAATCTTTAGTTTCATCTTTGGCTGGACCAGTAATTGGATTAAACGTTTGGTCTCTTATGGGCATTAGTCAACATCATTCCTAACTACAGTTGCTTAAAATAACTAGAAATGACAAAAGATTTTCCCTGTGGGCAGAAGCAATTTATCTAGCCAAAAGGAACTATTTTTAAGCACAGAATCATCTCAAATCTCCAGCAACTAAATTGCCAAGCATAGCAAACATTCTGAACCCCAAAATGGCTAAAATGTCCCTCAGAAGTAGCAACCACAATTCCAATAACCATTAAAGAACAATGCAATTTGTAGTCAGAAATAATACTTCTTCTTCCCAACATTGGCATCCACAGGAAAAGGCAATGACAATAAATAACAAAGCATGGGTGATGACATCATCATACAAATTCTATGGCTTATACACTTGTGTCCAATACTGGAATGCAAGTATGTAATGGCATCATTTCCATGATGATGTCAACATGCAGTATGTCATCATTTTGGCATTATTGTGGTTTGCTGTGGACACCACTGTTTTCCAAAAGACAATGGGCAGATATGAAAAGCTTATTTTCTCAATGAGTCCCATGGGTCACCAGAGGAACACAGATCTAAATGCTGAAAAAAACAGCTATATTCCATTAGTTCCATGTCTATTTGCTTTGTTGGTATATATCTGATTCTACCATTCTGTTTAAAGTAAGCCCAATGAACTAGTGAATGTTTCCTTGAATAGAAGGCTTTTTAAAAAAAAAATCAATTTTCTTCTGCAGCACCCTCCACCACACTCCCCATACAGAAACTTGTTTTGGAATAAGCCTAATTCTTTAGAATAGATTGGAGGATTCAGAAGTTGTAGAAGGAAGAAAGAAATCAGGGGATATTGCTTTCTCCTTTGATCAGCAAAGACTTTGCCGGATCAAGGAATATTCTGTGAATGGAAGAACAGCATATAGAATATACAGGCACAGGTTTTGGCTCTCATCATACCAATTAAGCCTGATTTCTTCGAATTTCATCTTTCTCAGGGTTTTAAGGTGAGTAGGTATCTGAAGTTTACAAACTTTAGCATAACTCAGGGCAGGCAACCCCCAGCGTAGGCCAGGTAAGATCTTTAAAAAAAGTGATTGTCCTTTCCCTAGTAACACTTCTCAAAAAAGCAGAATGTCCTTTTCTACATAGTAGAAAGATACCCCTTTCTTCTGTGTGGGACAAAGCAAAGGGGGTATCAGAAAGAGAAACAGAGCAAGAGATCTTATAACAACAATCAGAAAAAAAGGAAAAAGAGGATTTTAGAATGAAGAGAATTTGTGGTCCCATCCCTTTTTTATACTGGCCCTTCCCATTGCTTATTCTACCCATACAGAGCTACCATTGGCATATAGTTCCTCCAAATGTTTTCATAATCTTGGTTTAACTAAATTATAGCTGAGATATTTAGGATTTTTATTGTATGTCTGATTCACTGTTCTTTGCTGAGAAAACAGAAACATACTCTTCATACACATATATGTATACACATATAAATATATTTCAATAGTCTAGCATATCAAATATTATTTTCCTCCTCCTGGTTGTGCCCTTTATGATTCCATTTCATGCTGAATTACTCTTTTGTCCCAAATCTTTCTCCAGAAGGATTTAATAATGTTCCATTATTATTATTATAACAGCTTGGAGAAGGCCTTTGCACAACATGAACAGTCAATGAATTTCCCTTGCAGTTTGAGCCTGGAGTGTCCTTTAATTTGCAGTCCTTTGTTGGTTCAAAGGAAAGAATCTGAACTTCTACCCATCTAGATTGTTGGCCTATGAAATCTACAAAACTACTAATGACTACAAGTTTTTGTTCTTGTTACAGCCTTAGTGAAAACACAGAGCCTAAGAATTCCAAGGGGAGTCAACAGACTTTCCTAGCTCTCAATTGTTTATGCATCAGAATTTATAATTAAAGGGTATCTCATACAACAGATTTCTCAGCTGTATAAAATGGGAAAAGAAGCATCATGCCTTCTGTTCTAACCTGCTTTGCAAATAGCAAATTCTAATCTAGGTAGGTAGGTAGAAAAAAAATCTTGTTTTAACTCTGCAGCCATTGTCTAGAAGCTGTCTACAGTAGTAGCTGAATTTCTGTGCTTAAGTTGCTATTATAAGTCTTACCTGACGGACATCTAGACGGTAACTAAGAATGGGATCAACAGCATCAGGTTCCTTCTGTGTCCACTGTAAGACATAGGAGTAGTTCTTGGATTGCTTCCTTGTCGGATTGGGGGTATCATAGTAAAACTCTGGGTTATAAGCTTTAGCTGAGAAGTAGAAAAGGGAAGGAGAGGAGAAGAAAAGGAAGAAGGGAAAGAACAAAACAGGGAGGAAAGTTGTTATAAAATAAGTCAGTGAGATCCATAAGAATCCATGACTGCAATTCAGCAACAGCTTTGAGTATGAAGGTCATGGACAGCTAATTTTACTGAATAGCTATTTATTTTCTTTTTAGATATTTATAAAGCACAGTGTTATCTTCATTTCCACTATCTGCTACTTCCAGGAATTTGGATAGTAGAATTCATTGACCCTAATAAAGCTTAATAAAAGCTCTGCATTCAGATCTACAACTAAACCAGCTTTGATTTTGCTTCTACTTGTTAACAGGCTTTGAGATGAGAAAAAAACAACGTAATAACTGTCCATTATCAGTTACTTGTCTCTATTATGGCATAGCACTTACTTTAACATTGCTCTTTGTGACACAACAAATTTATTCCCTAGCAATTAAGATAACCAATAGAGAAGAATTGGATTTCATTTGGGAAAAAATAACAGGGATAGAAAAGGAAATATCCACTGAAGGGAAAGGCAGGCAATAGTAGTTGGGAGAACGTGGATGATTCCAGAAGAAGAGGCACTATTTTTTTTGCTCAGTGCATAAGTACAACTCCAAAGGCAGCTAGACAGAAAAAGGAAATAGACTGCATGGCAGAATAAAATGAAAACTATCCCATATTTCCACTTTTAAATATTTGTTTGCATATTACATTACAGAGGAGTTTTTAGTCAGCCATCAGTTGCCTGGTTCCTAATGAATGCTAGAGTGTTTCAGGACAGAAGCACATCAGTAAATAGATGGGAGATGTATATGCTAGGGAGCTCCACGTATGCTCAATAGGATGCAAACACCGGAAAACAGCTTGCATATAAAGTGTGAATTGGTTTCACTCACGCAAAGTAAGTATTCCTGTTTTAAAGCTCTGTCCAAAATCGCCCACTGAGTTTTGGAATGCCTTATGCATCAGTGGACAACGTCCCACATAAAATGACTCTAATGGCATAGGCAACATGTCTTTCTACCACATGTAAAATTTAGGGAAGATCTGAAAATAAAAAAGTACACATAAAAAAAGGACAGGACACCAAAGAATACTTACAGGTAAACTGGATTTGTAGAGAAGTTAGAGAAGGATGCTAAGAACAACAAAAAGGCCTTTTCATATACATGCAAAATAAAAAATAAAAATTGATGTACCATCTGAAAGCAACAAAATCCTAACTGGAGAAAAAAAAGGTAGAAGTACAGAATTCCTATTTGGTTCCTATTTTGGCTTTTAATTTTCTCCAGCAAAAATACATGTACTACCAGGAAATTGTGAAGAGCAGGATGAAGGGGCAGGTGTCAAACGTGAGACAAACATGGTTAGAAAATACTTCTTTATTTTGAATGAGATTAAGTCTCCAGTACTCTAGTGCATCTAAGGTACTGAAAGAACAAGCTGATGGATTGGTCAAACTCATATGTATTATCTCTGGGACTCTTGAAGAAATGGTGAAGTGCCAGATGACTGGAGATTAAATATTTCTATCTTCAAAAGAGGGAAAGAGATGATCCAGCGAACTACAAACTAGTCAGACATCAATACCTGGGAAGATTCTAGAGCAGTAATCTATGAGCACTTCGAAAATGATGCAGTAATTGCCAGAATACAGCATGGATTTGTCAAGAACAATTCTTGCAATTCTCAGCAAATTATATTTTTTGATCAGGAAACTTCCTTAATAGATTGTGGGAGTCCTGTAGATGTAATTTATCTTGACTTCAGCAAAGCATTCGAAAAATTATCCCATGATATTCTGATTATCTGGATGATATTAGGTAGATTCACACCTGGATTGAAACCTATACTTAGAAAATGCTTTTGATAGAGTACTTGAGTGAGTTATGGAGTGGGGTACCACATTATTCAATCCTTGGCCTGATATTCTTCAACAATTTGACTAATGACTTGAATAAAGAGAAGGGAATGCTTATCAATTTTTCTGCAGACACAGAATTGGATAGGATAGCTCTCTAGAGATGAGAAGTCAAATTCAGCAAGATCTACATAAGTTGGAGAAGTGGGCTGAAAACTAATGGAATTAAATTTAATAGAGACAAATGCAAAATTCTTTACTTAGGAAAAAGATCTTGGAATAGTAATTGGTTACAGAACGTGAGTTAGCAATGTGATTTGGTTGTTAATAAAGTAAATGCGATTTAAGGCTACATTAACAGAAGTACAGTTTCTAGATCAAGGGAAAAAGTTCCATCATAAACTGTACTGGTCAGTCCCCATATCAGTGACCATATGTGGTTCTGGCATTTCAGTTTAACAAGATTTAGAGATCCTGAAACAGTTTCAGAGAAGAGCAACAAGTCAGTGAACTGGAAACTATGTCCAGTTCATAGAGAGCATGACAGTATGTTTAACCTTGAGAAAAGCGATTTAATGGGAATACAATTCTACTTTTCAAATATCTGAAGGGGTATCACATAGAAGAAAGTCACTTTTTTTCTCTATTGCCTTAGAATACACAATACTCTTTATTGGAAGGTGAAGTCCGGTTGCATTTATGAATATTTTCTTAACAGTAAAGAGCTGTTCAGCTAAAGAAGGAAAACAGTGTCTTCTTCCCTTTCCTGGATGTGTTCAGGAAGAGGTTGGACAACCATCTGCTAGAGATGCTTTAATTTGGATTCTTGCACTGAATAGATGGAGGATTTGATGGTTGAAATTACTACTTCCAACTCCACAATTCTATAATTTAAAGAAAGTTATTTACAATCCCCTGATTCTAGGGAAAACAACAAAAGTAGATTTAATTATATTATTCCTGCTTCAATGGACAAACATCAGCAATGCAGGCAAAATTAAACTTAATAAACTCAGAGCTGAGAACCCAGCAAAAACTTATATTAATGTCCAGATCTGAAGGCTTTTATACAGAGATAGGCAATTTTTTAAAACCATGGGCTGCTTTTTGTTAAAAAATAGAGAAGCCCCTTAATACCTCCCTGAATGTCTTGAAATAATCATGTTATCAAACTTTGACAGCAAAATAATAATAATAACAACAACAACAACAACAACAACAACAACACACAAATGCAGTGATTCCAGGCAGCTAATAAAGATTAAAAAGTACACTATAAATACAATATAACAAAACATAGATTTCACACCCAACTAAAACACCAAGTGGCTGCTGAAGACACCATACACAGTGTGGGCTCAGTTATATTCCTGACACCCATGCCCAGGAAAACAGCTAGGCAGCTCTTCAAGATTTTCCAAAAGGTGACCACAAGGTGACCAATCTACTCTTGGATTGGTTGAGGTGAGCTATGAAAAAGACACACTTCCTGGGTCCCATTAGATGACAACCCGTGATTGATGGGACCCAGAGTATGCCCCTCCTGCCCAACTTAACCCTTTTCTGTGAGTGAGGAGAGAGTCGAGCCCTGAGGCATCTCGCACAAGAAAAGCTTCAGGGCAGACCTCTTCCCCTCATACACACTGACTGTAACTGACCAATGAGGAAGGAGGGGAACCAGTTATGGCTTCAACTCCTAAGCCCTAAGCAAGTCCAGAAAGATATCATAGTCAATGGTATTGAAGGCCACTGAAAAAGTCAGAAAAGTAATGATGTTTTGACATCTTTATTGCCTTGAGATAGGCCTTAATAGCAGCTCTAGATTGTGTTCAGTCAGGTTTGCTCTGGGTTGCTCTCCAGCAGTGCTCTAGGTGTCTCCTCTCCCACTTCATCTCTCTAAGCTCCACTGTAAATTGATTTCATGCAATTTTGGAGGGGTTGGAGTAGTTAAGGTAGAAGTGAGAATGGCCTACTCCCATTGCCACACTTTTTTGGGAGGGAGGTAACCATTAAAAAAAAAAAAAGCAACACCCCAAATCAACTATTTTGCTGAAGAATGTTGGCAGTGCAATCTTGGATCTGGGAGGCCACATTGTGGTGCTGAGAGCTTTTTCCATCCTGAAGATTGACTACCAATATTTAAAGTCACCCCCTTGTTATTGATTCACAAAGAAGACACTGTGGTCCCAATCCACACTGTTTATCTCCAAAGCAAAATCTGTCCACAGAAAACCCTACCCATATGCTAGCATTTGGCCAATTTAAAATCATAAAAACCATACAATGGGAAAATATTCAGGCAGGCAATATATTTCACAGGCATTCCTTATTCCCAAAGTGCTCTTCTTTTCCATTCCTCTTTACCCACCCCAATTACAAGCTCAGCCATTCTTTTCTGCTTTAATTAAATGGAAATGATTCCATGTTTATTTTTATTAACTCAGAATGGTAATATTGATGTTTACTTCTGAACCCCCTTTTCTTATTATTTTTATCGACTTACATTTTTGTGTATGCCAGAAATTCAGAGCCACCTTGGAGACTAATTGTTGCTTATTCAACTTGTATTGACTGTTAAGTCAAGTTTCATAACAAATTTAGAAATAAAATCAGAACAGATGATAATCATTATCTTATACCCATTTTTATAATTAATTGATTCCCAAGACGGAAGACTCCATCTCTGGTGATATAATAATAAAGTTCACTGGATCTTTATAATTTTCTTCTTGCTCATATAAGTCACCCATGGAGCATTTTGCAGCTATTGGAAGACACCAGAAGAATCAAATAATTGCTGGACTCTATCTCTAAATCTACATGCATGAACTTTGCTATATAGAGAATGGAAAATATTAATATAGATTTTGAAAGAACAGTAGTTACACATAAGCAGCTATAGCTGATCTGGGAGACGAAGGAACTGGCACATTTCTATATTAAATTCACATAGACTTCTATTTAAAGGTGCAGAAGTGCAGTTTCTTTTGGGACAAGCCTGATATCTCGAATGTGGAAGGGCTTGTCCCAAAAGAAGTATGCACCTGATGTTGTGATAAGGTATAAAATAGTCACCCAGCACTTTCACAGTAACTGGAAAATGCTGACTTAAGTACTTCATATTGATTGCAAGGGGTGGACTCAGTTAAAGGATTATATGGCCGAGAGATGTTAAAGTCTCTCAGTAAAAACCAAAAAGAAGAAGGGCGGTCCAAAGGGTATATCTGACCTCTAGCCAATCGTTTTCTGAGACAGTTTTGCAAGAAAACAGAATATAAGGGTCAAAGAATAGTGTGTTCATCTATCCATATTTTGGATCCCCAAAGCACAGATGTCATGGAAACAGCAGTGATACATAAGAGTTAAACTTTCCATTTTAAATGGCCAGATCTTATTTAATTACATGCTGCATTCTGGCATAAGACTATTTCTTATTCATCAACTGTATCAATTAAAAAACAGAGACTGCCCTCAGGCTTCTAAACTTAAAAGACAAGATAGCAACATGTAATATAGGAATTAATCCTGGAGTTTCCTTAGTGAACAGTTATATTCAGAGGCTGGTGCAGAAAAGTGTGAGTACCGGCATCTTATAGGAACCAATTCCTGTGCCTCATTTTATCAAATTTGTATTGAATCCAGACTTGCCCTTTCCTAAATGGAAAGGCTCTTTCTGTTTGCGGAAAAGCTGGTGATCCAGTGGAGGTTCCTACCAGGAAGAAGAGTCCACTTTCTGCTGCAGCACTGTTTTTCTGCTGCTCCAGGACTGCTCAGCAAATGGGGAGTTGGTAAAGACAGGCTTTCCTTTTTTATGAGAGAAACAGAGTCTCATCATGGGCACATTTTCTATCTAATTCATCTACCAGTTATTAGCCAATTCTAATCATACTAGTATCTACTAAACAAGAAAAACAAAAACAAAAATGCATAGATGTTCTTTGCAAGACTTACCTGATACTTGGAATTTGCAAACTGCCACCCCAACGTCATTGGAGATACTACATTCATAGCTGCCACTCGTCTCTCGGCTTACACTGTCCACTCTATATTCTGAATAGTCTTGCTGCTCTGTTGGAGGCACTGTTAGAAGACTACCATTAAATCTCCAGACAGCTGTAGCCACTTTCATAGGGCTTCCCTTTAACATGGTACAGCGAAGGGTTACACTACGTCCCATGGCTTGCCGAATATCCTGGAAGATGGGCTCCACGACAGGGGAGACTAGAGGCCAAAGAAAGAAGAAGCATGTCTTATTCAGTGAGTTCATGGTAGATTATACTGTGGACAAAATAGAAAGTGTATTAATACAACATTTCTTGCCATACATGAACTTTTCTTTAACTCATCTTCCATTTCATGTTATAAGCTGCCACCTGGGTCTTCAGATAGGAAATGAAAACATGAGTGTAAATCTATGAATGTATGGAAGTTATCCTGTTTCTAAATAATATACCTGATGCTTAAATAAATTGGCATGTGAAGAACCTTATTTCAGTCAATAAGATTGCCCCAGACATTAGGAAGGATGGATGGAAGGAACAGAATAATAAACACAGATATCTGAAAGATACTGATGATTACAAGTGTTTCCCACAGCACTGAACTGTATTTGTATCTCCTATACCAGAAGAGTCATTCCTTAATTAACAGCCCATCTAAAGAAGAAAATAGATGCTGAAATTATTAAGCATGTACTGGAGGTATGGATTTCCTCTGGCATGTAGCACTGGACTGAGCGTACCTAGTTTACAAGTTTATAAAGATTCCCAGCTGCAGGGCTTTAACATTGAAGAAAAATGTATTAAAGCCAGCCTATGATTAAGCTTGCTTTGCCCTATGATTTGAGATGGCCAGCTCCTTAGAGACTACATCCCACAAACAGGCACCTTTGCTGAAGGTTCCCTTCCCACAACAATAATTAATCAAAAGCAGTGAAAAAGTGAAAATCAATTCCATCCTCAAAACCTGCTTTGGGTTGTTTGAAAAAGAGGAGTCACTTTTAAGGGATTGACCTTCAGGTTCTTTGTTCTTGAATATGACTCACATCAGAAACTGAACCAATAGGACAAAGGGCTGGCTTAACAAATTGACATCTTAAAATCATTGCTCAGTTGGAGGTTCAGCAGTGGGTGAACCTTCCAAAGCATGGATTAATTAAAGTAGCTTTCCCAGTTCTGGCCCTCTCCAGATAGGTCAAGACTATAATCCCTAGAAATACCCATAAGCAGTCCTGACCTATGTGGAGAATGTCAGATTTGGGGACACTAATTTAAAACATGATCCCAGAGGGTCCTATAGATCCAGGGGGTCCCTAGGGCATTACACAATACTATATAAAGTTTGTTTCAGTTCATTGGCTGTGGTGGAGACTGGGAACCTCTGATTTATGGGTCTAAATCCAGAACACCAGGTAGGTCTCCATACCAACTCCTTCCACCTCAAGGGGCTGTTAATTAAGGAATGACTCTTCTAGTATAGGAGATACAAATACAGTTCAGTGCTGTGGGAAACACTAGTAATCATCAGTATCTTTCAGATATCTGTGTTTATTATTCTGTTCCTTCCATCCATCCTTCCTAATGGGAAGGACTGATGTCTTGAGGCTTTCAGAAGCTTCATAGTCAACAATCAGCCTACGAGACCTATCCATGGCATGGAGATTAGTATTATTTTCAGCTCCTATCAGCAGTAGAGCAAGGGCTTTGAAAGGCACAGGAGCCTTAAAAAAAGAAAGAAATGCAAATGTAATGTGAACATTAAGGTGGCTAAGTACTCTCTTTTCAGAACACAGCTCTTGATTTACGAATAGCCTTTGTTTGATGGTTATCTGGTCCACATCCAATTGGTCCTTCAGAAGAGGGGCAGCAGGACCTTCCCTGAAATTGCCTATCATGCAACTTTATGGTAAGATGCACTGTATTTAAGCCCTGCAAAATAGCCAGACAGGTACTAAGGAATTTGCTCTGCCTCTCTTAAATATTGAGCCATCTTAAAAATATCAGATAAGCTTCCCACTTACTTTTTTGGTGACCTCCCCTGCATTTATAGGCCAACTACATGACAGTTCTACTTAATTATAGTCACTGCTATAATTAATACTGCTTTAGCAGGTATTACTGCTAAATTTGCATATACAGTTTGAATAAGCATGTGCCAATTTTAGGACAATTTTTGCCCCCTTTCTAGTGCTGCATTTTTTTTTCTTCCTGCAGTACAAGTGGGCCTCTATCCAAATGAGAATCTTGACAACTCAGTGGGAAATAATCAGATACAAAGACCTCCCAATTGATATTTGTGGGTGTGGGGGCAAAGCACACACCCATCAAAAATCTACCCAATGCCTTGGTTCTCTGTGTTTTGCAGCACTGCAAATAATGTGTATAATATTCATATCATGCTGCTTGAACAGTGTGTACCTCAAATATACTGCCCTGCATATTAGTGTTTAATTATGCAGATGTCAGATGCTTCCTTTCTAGACTTTAAGAATTAAACCACAAAACTAGTGTATGTGATATGAGAAACTATAAAAAATGGGGGATGGGGGAAGAGATACCAGAGCATTAGCCACTACCCCAAGCAATGCTTTCTTGGACGCCTTCCTATTTTGCTAGTTCCAGAAACTGAGGTCAAAGTAATTAGCTTCAGCACCAAAATAATTTTTCAATAACACAAATCATACTTCACTTATTCTTCAAGAAGAAATTGACTAATGGCCTGAAGTTTTGTGGCCTACTCAGTTTTGTTTTGGGCCCTAAATAGTTTGTGAGAATTCACATTGTATACTTGCTAGAGCAGGATGTAAAGGTTTGTTTTAGACACTCATATACTGAACACCCATAAACTATGTCTACTTCAGTAAAAATACTACATAGCATGAGGTAAAAAAGCAAGGGACCAGCAAACAAAGGCTGGAAATTTCAAGTAGACACATATTATTGTTCCATAAACCTTTCACTTTTACACTTTAAAGAGATTAGCAAATCTGGGATTTATTCTTCAACAGAAAAGTTTCTCCAAAACATAAGGTTAACTGGAACATGATTAAGTTCTAAAACCCACTTGAAAATCTATTTTCACTTTGTGCTGCAGGCAAAGGAAAAATCTCACCAAATACTAATGCCTGATTGCCCAACACATTTAGGAGCTGGATGATAGAAATCCTCCACTGTGTAAGTTGTAGGACAACTACCAAATAGGAGGCACTTTTAGGCTTCCAGTGTGAGTCATGGCTGACTGAAGACATCTCCACAAAGGAGCAGAGACAACTGCTGGGAAGAATGAAGGACCAGCAAGTAGACCAGTCCTTCGAATCTCTCGGGAGAAGGAGAGAACAGGAGATTGACCCACAAATGCTCTTAATGGCAGCTCCTTATGAGGAGACCATAAAATAGCAGTCTCCCATGGGATTTAAGAAAGTTTTAAATGGATTGGGAGATGAGATTTGGAATATTGGTTATTTTTGCTATAAGATTTGAAAAATAAGTATATAATTAAATAATATACTCGTGGGAAAAGATTGAAATGGAAGTAAACCCATATTAGGAATTGAAGCTTGATGAACTTTGCAAATGGACACTAAAGGGAAGTAAAGGACCAGGCAGAAAAGAGTTAAAATGACCAAGCCAGCTATAACTTTTTCTTATCTTAAAAAGTTTTTTGAAATATGGACTGAAATATTAATAACTAATATCTCAGAAGGGATACAGATTTCAATAGATAAACTTTTAGAAGATGATGAAAAAAATTTAAAAACTTTTACCTAACAGAGACATTATAGAGTTTGAAGGCACAGAAAACAACCAAATTGAGATTACCAAAATGGGAATATAAAAGACAAATCAAGAAAAGAATCTGTACATGGAACAGCTGTGACAAGAAATCCTGGACGATGCCTCTTTATGGGATTTACAAAGTAGGCTGGTGAAAGCTTTGAAGACTGCTTTCAAATGCCAAAGAGGGATGAAAGATCAAATCCTGTGACGCCATTGGAATGATTTAAAGGTCAAGAC